GGAGGTATGGTTAATTACCATGTTTCTCTATTATTATATAGGATACCGTATGAGAAAACACTGCCAAATATGCAGGCATTTCATTTACCCAGCACCAACAGGCTATGAGGGGTTACACAGAATTTTCCAGGTAACATAAACTTACCTGTCCAGATAACATTAACACATTTAATGGGCATTTTGCCAAAATGTATTATACTTGTCCATGCTTTTTTGACACAAAAACATAAAGGTAGAATTCAACACCAGGGTCAGTTAAGGGGTTGGAGACCTACCGGGAAGTCAGCTGTAAATGTTGACTCAGTTTTGCCCACTAGGGTTACAGGCTCCATCCCCAAAGTGGGGTGGGGGGGAGGCGCGTGCAAGAGGCAGCTGCTGATCTGATCGATCATGTTTCTGATGATGTTTCAATCTCTCTATCCCTCTCCCTTCCCCTCTCTCTAAAAATCAATAAAAACATATTTTTAAAAATATTGACTCAGTTTCTTTTCTTTGATGAAAACTCAGGTTTATTGAATAAGAATGTTTATAAGCAAGTCAAATCTTTACAAAAAACCTTCATCAAAGAAAACTCTGGTAGAAAATACCTTTCCTCCCCACCAGGCCCACGGAGCCTTCTTTTGAAGGAATTCTCCAGGCTCTTCCCAGGACAGTAGGGTCAAGAGGGGGTTCAGGTGTCCTTGGGCTGAAAGTTCAGCCATGTTGAATTCTGTTGAGCTTTCAGTAACGAAATATATCTTCGCACCCATTTTTCCTTTGGTTGTGCACAGACTTTCCGGCCTTTTTTGGTAGTGAATCTGTGGGAAAGAGATGCTGGCAGTCAATACTGACTTTAGCCTCCTGGAAAGAAATGGAGGGGCAGCTGCCTGACTCATATTCCAGCCTTGCCACACCCCTGTCCCACGGCACCTGCTCCCGTTTCTGGCCCTTGCCCTCCCTCCTGTCGGATACATCACTTTCTGCCGGAAACCATGCTTCCAGGCCCACCTCCCGCAGGAAACATTTTCTACCTGCTCTAGTCCAAAGAACATAACTTGTACCCTGCCTCTTAACTCTTTTGTTTTAATCTAACAGCTTTACTGAGATATAATTCACACACCATACAATTCACTCATCCTATATCTTAAAAGCCTAATATGCTAAGTGTCTGGTCGTCCAGTCGGCTGTTCAACCAACGTAATATGCTAATGATATGCTAAGGCTGCTCAACTGCTCGCTGTGACATGCACTGACCACCAGGGGGCAGACAGCCAGCGGGTCGACCAGTTGCTATGATGTGCACTGACCACCAGGGGGCAGACAGCCAGCGGGTTGACCAGTTGCTATGATGTGCACTGACCACCAGTGGGCAGACGTTTCGACCAGTAGGTTAGTTTGCTGCTGGGGTTCGGCCGATCGGTGGGGCTGAGTAAGACGGGTTGAACACACCCTGGAGCCCTCCCACGGTCCCTCCCTGGCTGGCCAACCTCCCGCATCCCTCCCCGGCCCCAATCATGCACCGGTGGGGTCCCTTGGCCTGGCCTGTGCCCTCTCACAATCCGGGACCCCTCGGGGGATGTCAGAGAGCCAGTTTCAGCCCGATCCCGCAGGCCAGGCTGAGGGACCCCACTGGTGCATGAATTTGTGCACTGGGCCTCTAGTTTAAAGTATATAATTATCACTCGATAGTTTTTAGTATATCCATAGATGGAGCAACCATCACCACTATCAATTTTAGAATATTTGCATCACCCCCAAAAAGAAACCTTATACACATTATGCCACTTAATTCATAACCACATTATCATGGGTTGTTTGCCATGATTCCTGCATTCCTTATATATGATTCCTGATTTCCATTGGGATCTCATTAAGAAGGGGGTTGTGGTTAATGTCCCTGAATCTCCTTCAGCCTCGTGCACCCTGAGAGTCAGACATTATGAGAGAATAGATTGGGTCCTTCCAGCCTGGAGCACCTTGCAGCACCCAGCAATGTTTTCAGGGCTCTCAGGAGGGCCCCAGGACACACAGGGGGGAAGAGCCAAGAGAATGGAAAATAAGAGAGGGAAGAGCTTTCTGGACATATGAAAGCATGCCGTTGCTCCTATTGAGAGATGAAGGTCTATGTTCTCACCCCTTGAATTTAGGCCCCCCCTTAGCGACTCGTCAACCAACAGAGTATGGCAGAGGTGACACTGTGTGACTTCACAGGCTAAGTCAGAAGAGATGGTGGAGCTCCTGCCTGGTTTACTGGATCACCTATGCTGGAGCCTTGAACCACCTTGTAAGGAGTCCTTCTACCCCAGATCACCATACTGTGAGGAAGCCTGAACTAGCCCAACAAAGAGACCACACAGAGAGGCCCTGAAGAGAGTGAGATGCCATTGTGCTAGGGTGAGGGACTGCGGCATGGAAGGGTTACAGAATGTTACAGAATGTGCTAAGGGGAGGAAATGAGACATGAGAAATTGAATGTGCTGGGAGGGGGGACTGACGTATGGAGAAGGATTGTGTTGTCAGGATATGGAGAAGGATTGTGTATGTGCTGGGAGGGGGGGACTGACGTATGGAGAGGGATTGAAAAATTGCTAGATTGTCTTAGAAAACAATGTGTTATGATACGCTCCAGCCAGGTGTGACTCTGTTTACCCCCCCTTTGTGCTTATGAACTTTCTGTGAACTTCTAAGGTAACACTGTTTTGCTATAAAGGATCATACTACACCCTTGATCTCTGCCACCTGCTCCGAAGCTCCTAGAGGGGGAGCTAGGTGCTGTGGTCAGCTGGCCAGCTTAATAAAAGGCTCTTAAATTTAAATTCTGAGTCGGTGGTCTATCTCGTTGAGCCAACCCATAACACCATGAGCCCCAGCTGTTTCAGCTCCAGCACCATCGGACCACAAACACCCAGCCAAGCCCTCTGGAATTTTGGACCCACAAAAACCACGGGAGATAAGAAACTGGTTGCTGTTGCATTAAGCCCCTAAGCTTTGGGGTCATTTGTTATGCAGCCACAGTTAACTGATAGAAACCCCTCACCTTCCTTTTACAGGAAACTTGACTTGCCCAAGGTCATACAGCTTGTAAGTGACAGAGCCATTGCTTTGAGTCCAGCTCAGGGCTCTTTGCCAGCTGCTGGTTAAGTGTTGATGACTCTAAAGCCAATCAAGACACAAATGAGAGGCCCAGGGCATCCTGAGCCCCAGAGAGCCCCCGTCCTTATCTAGGCTCTTCAGTGTCTCTTTCCCCTCAACTGTCTCAAAATGATGGCATTCAGGTTGGCCTCCAGAGCCCCTTCTTTCCCCTCTGCACCATTCTCTCCTGCTCAGGAACCTATGTCCAGGGAGCAGGGACCTGCTGCTCCCTGTGTATTTGCACTTAAAGATGCTTTTGTTGAATGTTGGTAACTTGGGTTGTCACCCTACCTCTGCATGTGGCAGTGATGTGCCCAAATTCTGCCACTTACACAACATTTGTTGAACATTCACTGTGTGTAGACACAGCAGTAAACACTTCGCATATAGTAGCTCATTTAGTCCTGCCAGGGAGCCTGTGAGATGTGTGTCATCACTCCTGCTACCAATGAGCCCGGCATGACCTGGCTCCTATTTACCTGTCTGCCTGGTCAGTGACATGTTCATCCTCCTTCCACTCACCTGCTGCTCCCTCTGCCTGGTACACCCATGCTCCTTCCTGCCCCCTTTACCTAAGCTGCTCCCACTGTTCCTTGAGGGTCTCAGTGTAAATGTCACTTCCTCAGGGGGATCTCCTGACATTGAGTGAGGTCCTCCTGCGACTAGGCTACACAGTGGTAGAATATGCTGCTGCAAAATATGCCACTTTGGCATAAAGATTATTTTGAGCTAAAGGCACTTAAAAAAAAAGTGGTACAAGAAGGGCTCTCTGACCTCCTCCTTTCTTCCTGGAAGCAGGAGATAAAACCCCTCTGTAAAAAATGTCCTCCCTGTACCAGGAGGAAAAAAACATTTTTGTTACCAGAAATAGGGAGTCAAGGCCAAGAGAATTCTGTAGAAACACAGCTTGTTAAGGTAACTCTTATCATCCTTTACGGCCTCCCCCATACATTTTAGTTATTTTTCCACAATTGCCTCTCTTCATTTTAGTATAAATGCATTTAAGTTTTGCCACTTTGGGGAGGTATTCATTTTCCTATGTGAAATCTGTACTCTTTTCTTCTCCTATTCATCTGTCTATCAGTTTAATTCCCAGGCCCAGCCTAAGAGGTTAGAGATAAAGTTTTGCCTCCCCCTCCTGCTGTCCTTCCTACTGTCCCCTTCAAGCACCTATCACAATTGAGATCATCTATTTTGTGAAAATGTCTTTTAATGCCCCCTTCCTTATGCTAGATGTAAGGTCTATCAGGGCTGTCTTGTTTGCTCTTTTATACTCAGCACTTAGCACAGTGCCTGGTACATGCCCGGCACATGATATGGAAGTTAGGAAACCAAAGCTCAGAGTCACACTTGTTAGTGGCAGAGGAAGGATAACAACCCGAGTTACCAGGTTCCCACCCTGAAGCTCATCCTGACACTGTAGGGGCCTGCCTTGCACCCACCCAATTACATGGCTATCAGGGACCCTCATGCCCAGATGAGAAATACTCACATCACAGCTTGCTGGGAGCAGCTGTTCCTAGTGAATTCATAGCTTTGCACCAAGTTCCAGGGCAGGGTCTTTTGGATGAATTGTAAGCAGCAGTATTTGGCCACATCACTGCCACCTAAAAAAACAGGTAAAGGAAGGAGATTGGAGACCCCTTTGCTTCTACCCCTAGTCATCATGGGAAGGGAGTGAGGCAGCTACATACGTGGGGCAGCTGCAAGACCGACACTCAGGATGAAAAGTAGAACAGGGGGAGCCGTGGGGAAGCTCTTCATGGTGCTGCAAGCCCTTCACAGCCTTCTCCCCAATTCCTCCTGTCCTAACTAGACGCCCTTTTATGGGGCCGAGCGGTTCCTAAAGAGAATTCTAGATAAAATGAGTAATCTGATATCTTTGAGAAGATTGAAAAGTGAGACAATATCCTGGGAGGAGGGGATGGGAGGAGCCGCCGGCATGCAACTGAGAGCCTGGCCCAGTGTTATGTCACCACTTTCCCCTCTGAAACAGATGAGATGAAATCATTCCAGCAAACTGACCTAAAATCCTTTACAACACCATTAGTTGTTCCAGGTAAATACCTGGTTCTTGGCCGAAGCTTTCTTTGCTTTATAAACATTGCTTATCTCTTGGGAGATCTGGCCAGTCTCGGGACGTGTGTAGGGCAGCCTGACCATGGCAATGGACGGTCAAGAACAAGGCTCCAGCTCTCTGCCTGTTGCTCATCGTGGTGCAGATCAAGGTGAAGAGGAGAACCCCATGCAGGTGCTTCACATGTGAAAGCCCTGCTGACTCAGCCAGCCAAGATCCTGGAGAAACTCCCAGGCCAGACCCCTGTGTTCTCCAAAGCCAGATACACCGTCAGCTCCTTTGGCATCAGAAGAATGAAAAGGTTGCTGTCTACTGCACAGTCGGTGGGGCCAAGGCAGAAGAAACGTTGGAAAAAGGTCTAAAGGTGTGAGAGTATGAATTACAAAAAAAGTAACTTCTCAGACACTGGAAACTTTGGTGTTGGGATCCAGGAACACATCGATCTGGGGGTCACATATGACCCAAGTATTTGTCTCTATGGCCTGGACTTCCATGTGGTCATGGGTAGGCCAGGTTTCAGCATCACAGACATGAAATGCAGGACAGGCTGCATTGGGGCCAAACAGAATCAGCAAAGAGGAGGCCATGTGCTGGTTCCGGCAGGAGTATGATGAGATCATCCTACATAAACTCCTGTTTCTATCCAAAAAGCCAACACAATATTTTCAGTGAAATGTAAAAAAACGAAAAAAGAACAGAATATGCCTCCTATGTTCTTAGTATCACACACACATCGCCCCCTACAGGGTGCCAGAGCTGCTTGGGGGCACTCAGAGCTATCTCATGTGGTATAGAGGGTCCCAAGCCTGACAGAACACAACTGCCTGGAGTCTGAAAGATACACTTTTCCCGGTCCCTGCTTTGCACCCGCCGAGTCAGGCTCTTGATGGGGCCTGGGGGTGGGCAGGGATCCAGGAATCTATATTTTAGCCAGATTTGGCTAACACAGAGAAAGTGAATTCCCCAAAGGGGCAGTGACTTTTGCCAGAAAAGTCTTTGGGAGGGGTTGATGGGATTTTCAGATCCATGTTTCGTGACTATCTGTGCTCAGTTATTCTAAGTCCTGATATGACCCCAGACTTTAAAATTCTGAAGTTAAGATTTTTTTTTTTTTGAAAAAAAGGCTATTCAGTACTCATCTTGAACCACAGACTTTTTCCAGGCTAACTGGCACCTTTCAAATACATCCCAGACAGTTTTAACTACTCTGAGTGATAGGGAATTCACCTTTGAACTCGGCTCAATGCAGGACAGATCTGACGGTGTGTCACAAAGTTTTCTTACGTTCTTTTCAAAATTTGGCTGAGCCTGGCTGGTGTGGCCCAGTGGTTGAGCGTTGACCCATGAACCAAGAGGTCACTGCACCTGCCCAGGTTTCAGGCTCCATCTCCAGTAGGGGGCGAACAGCTCTCTATCCCTCTCCCTCCTTTATGTCTAAAATCAATAAAAAAATATTTTTAAAAAGAAGTTTAGCTTAAATCTATATTCCCATTGCTTCTACTTATTGACCCAACTCTATACAAAAATGCCTAATTTCTCTTTTCTTCTTTTGGAAAATGAGGAATTGAGGTTTCAGCCATTCAGAGGGATGTGATTCCTGAAGATGCCATAGAGGAGGGGGGATGCCAGGGTGGGAAGAGCCAGTGCCAACACGAGGTGTATTATCCGGGCAGCAGGTCACCGAGGGCAGCAGCTAGCTCAGGCTCAGTTCCACTGCAGGGTCTGGGAGCGGGGCAGAATCTGAATCAGCTCAACTGCTGGCTGAGGCAGCAGAGACATTCGCCTGAACCCCAGCTCTCTGGTTGGCATTGACTGAAGGCTGCGTCCCATACTCCTTGTCCTATGAGCAGACTGAGCGTGCTCTGTGATCAGGAAAAAGGCTCTTATGCTGAGTCCAGGGGGTCCTCAATGAGCAGTCTTTGGGAATGAGGAGGGGATATGGGTGGGATAGCAACATCTGCTACAACCATTATCCTGTTTGCCCCTGAATGTTCTTTTCTTTAGGCTAAACTCCCCTATGCCTTCAATTTATCTGCAACCATCCTACTGGCCACCTTGACACATCAGTTTTGACTTGAACGAACAGGTATAGTGTGCTGGGAACCCAAGTGTTTCATAAATGGATACATAAACACTAACTATAAAGGGCTGATAAATAGTTGATAAATTGGACTATATGAAATTTGGAACTTTTACCCCTTAGAAGACACCAATAAGAGAGTAAAAGGTGCCCTGGCTGGTTGCTCAGTGGTTAGAGCATCTGCCTGCAGACCAAAGGCTCCCGGGTTCAATTCCCTGTCAAGGGCATGTACCTCGGTTGCAGGTTTCATCCCTGGCCCCAGTTGGGGCATGTAGCATGTGGGAGGCAACCATTTGATGTGTCTCTCTCACATCAATGTTTCTCTTTCTCTGCCCCCCGCCTCCCGCTTGCCTCCCTCCTTCCACTCTCTCTCTAAACATCAATGGAAAAAATATCCTCAGGTGAGAATTTTAAAAAAGAGTGAAAGGTCATCTGCAGGTTGAAAGATTTTTGCAATTCATCTGTACTGAGTTGAATAGTGCTCCCCTCCCCTGCCCCCCCAATTCACAAAAACCCAGAACTTCAGAATATGACCTTATTTGGAAAATTGGTACTTTGCTGTAATTAATTGAGGAGGCTATATTGGATTACGGTGGGCTCTTGTGATGGTGTGATTTATAATCCTATCTAATAAAAGAGAAACATGGTAATGAGCCATACCTCCGATACCCTTCCCATTGGCTAATCAGGGAGATATGCAAATTAACTGCCAGCCAAGATGGCAGCCGGCAGCCAGGCAGCTTGAAGTGAACAGGGAGGCTTGCTTGCTTCAGTGACAGAGGACTCCAACGTTCCCCGCCTGCGCTGCCGGCCTCTCAGCTGCACTCTAAGCAACATTGTAACAAATATAGAAGCTAAACAAAACCCCAGAAACCTGTTTTCAGTCAGCC